TCATGGACATTAATATTTTATGCTTTTGTAATGTTCCCCTCATGGTCTTAAAAATAAACTATTGCAGATGGGAACATTAGTTTACCTCTTGCACTGAAGTAAATGCATTAATACTAGCACAAGCTTTCTCTCCAGTTTTGTTTAAAATTAATTGGCTTTGTTTTGTTTTTGTTTCTTTTTTTTTTTACCAGAATTATTTATTTGATGTTTAAGGCATGACACAACAAGATTTTCTGTTTATGCATCTGGATTGTGATGGTGGTTACAAAGAGAACTTCTTCAGTGAGGCGTTTGGGGGATTGAGAAGAGCGTGGTAGAATGTGAGGGGAAAACTGACTACAGCTTAAACAAGCTTGTAACTAAGATACTTAAACCCCCCCCCACACACACAGAACACAGAACAAGCCCCCAAAACAACCTGCAAAGTATAACAATTTTTTGCAAAAGAAAGGTATCCAGCCTCAATTTGGAAAGAAAATCTGCTAGACACTTTCAGTGATGCAGAAGCCAACTGCAAAGGAAATAATGTCCAACTTTTCATCTAGAAGCCTTAATACCACTCAGTTGTGTCATTGCAACACAGCAATGGTGGTGAAACATCCTCAAAGTACTTTAAAGGACCATAGGTACAGAAATGAAGAGCAGCCTTGCCTTCCAGCTGCACAGCCCGTGGCCAGGAGAGCACAGTAGGAGGACAGCCTCTCTGCCTTCTGGATTAGGCACTACAGACGCGCAGGGCCCTCAGTCCTCACAGCTGCACAACCGTAGTTTTATGCTGTGAAGGGGAAAGGCGTGCACCTTTCCACCTTTCCTTCCTTCTCTTCAACAACTATCATCATTTTACTGCTCTATTCCTCAGTCCATGGCCATCTCTGTCTGCTATTAGACTGCTAATCCATGTAGCTTTTCCTTTTATTTTGCTTTTTATTTCCTTCCTCTTATGTGTAGGTTTGTGCAGAATTACTGGAGATGGTCACCTTTTATTTTGAATTAGGAATTTCCAGAGTACTTGTCATCATTTCCTTTTTGTTTTAATTTCCCTCCCCACTCCCAAATTGGTTATACAATGAAGTTATCTGAAACTTATTAGAAGGTGGTTGCTGAGGCACTCAGAGATGTTGATCTTTGCTCTTAAGCTTGTAGTTTGGAAGTCCAGACTGCAGTTGCATTCAGCTCTTGTAAGTCCTAAATGAGATTTGATGAGGAAAAACTCAGTCATGGTCTACATAAAAAAAAAAAAGAAGAAAAATATAGAAAAGCAACTCTGTGTGCTCTCTTCTTTCTTGCTTGTTTCTAACTAGAAAAACCTTGGGAATGCTTAACAGGTGTTTCTTACCAAGTTTAACATGCTTAAATCTGGGCTTTTTTGCTCTTGATGGATGTATCTGAATGTTTGAAAGCTGCTCTTAGTGAGGAGGAATGAAGAGTGGGTAGCAAGAAACTAATTTTAGCTTTATAATGTGATTGAATCCAGTAGATTCAGTCCTGGTCTTTTAAAATTATTTTATGCATCTGCTTTAAAGGTGGGATAAATTCTGTGCTCTCCTACTATTGCTTTTAAAGAGAACAGAACTTAAAAAGGAAGAACAGGCATCCGAATTTTGAAATGCTGGTCAAACAGAGACTTTGCAATAGGGAAAAATAAGTTTCTTGATTATTTGCCAGAGGAGAAAAGAAGAGTCTATTCTATAAAAAAAAAAGAGCATAGCAGTAAATAGATCTGGATGCTGTAAAAGCTGGTAAATAGACTGGACATTTACTTACCTCCACCTTTGTTTTTTTATTAATTTTAATCTTAATTTTTATTATTTGTGCTTTCCATGAGAATGGAGGCTGAAGAATTGAAAGTATATTCATAAATCATAGCTCTCTATTTCATGCTGGCCTTGATGTTTCGGGCAGAATTGCTTGTTGTTGTAGAACACTGTCTTAGGCAGCACTTCCCATATATGTGGGTTTCTTTCACCCCGACTTCTCAAAGTGGAAGTGAATGGTTTTGTGTGTCACATGTTCTGCCAGGAAAACAGGTTTACAAGGGCAGTAATGCTGTTAGTCAGATGGTTTTGATAGTTATTGGATAATTTATGGATGAAGTTTCCTAACGATTTTTTTCCTAATAATTATAAAATACTGAGACTATCAACTTGAGTCAGCACATGACTCCTATGCATTGTACAGACTTGCAGTGACTTCAGTTTTCAGTCCATCCTAAATTTCAGTAATTCTGTCCTGAATCCTGATACTTTGGTTATTTAAGCCAAGCCAGCACTCACATAATAGTCACACAGGAAGTACTAAGAAGAGAAAATATTATGTGTATCAATGGAAGCATTTATTTAGAAATGTTTGCTTCATGCTAACAGCTGGAATGTTGTAAGCCTTACATCCTGCTCTGTAATGGGCCATTGCTTTGTACTTTTTCTCACTCTCTAGCTCATCTTGCAACACTAATGTGTTGTTTTGAGCTGCTGTAATTGACTAAAAAATCTTGCTGTGTTTTTCTAGCATCTTAGTGATCAGTGTATTTGAACCTCTAAGTAGTTTCTACATTTTATAAAGCATATATCATGGCAAGACAACCTTTTTATTTTTTTTAATTTTTTTTTTTCTTCTGGTGGATTGTAGTAAGCCCTGAGTGGACTTTTGTACACCGGCATCTTTTCTTCCATTCCAGAATCTTTTTCCACTTAGCCAGTATCCAGGCCATGGTTCCCCAGCCTTTCAGAGTTGCTCTCAAGGCAGATACTTGAAGTCCTTTGGCTGCATTCAGGACCTTGCTATCTGTATCAGAACAGTTACTGCATGTGGAGTAGGTCCACATGGTAATTATCTACCAAGATTTGCCTTGGTAGTTGTTTCCGAAGAAATATTAGGAAAATAGGACATTGCTGATTTTTCTTCTACACAGAAAATTACTGTGAAAGATAGCTGGGCATGTGTGTAGGGTTTGTGTAGGATTTTTTGGTGGTGGTGTGCTTTGGGATTTGTTGGGGTTTTGGTTTGTTTGGGTTTTTTTGCAATTGTGGAGCATAGTTGTGCTTGTACCTTACACCTTTTTCCTCCTGCCCCATTCCCCAAATCCACCCTCATAGTGCAGTCCCTTTAAGTTCTTACGAATTTAAGTTGAGGATCCTTTCTTTGTTATTTAACTGCAGGTGCTTGTTTTATTCCTATTAAATTATTAATAGTGATGATAAGGCCTATAGGATTGCCTGAACACATCTCAGACTCCATGGAAAACATACAAGCCCATATTCATCATAATGAATAATACTGTATTCTGATGCTTATTTCTTGCTCCTTTAGGAAAACAGACTTTTTTATATTTTGCTGGTTTGAGCATATGTGTCGTGTGGTAGAGCTGAACTGCTATAGTCGTTTCCCACCATGAGTCTTCATGCAAAAAATAAGACTACACAATAAAATCAAGGCATAGTTGCAGGATGTATAATCAGTGATTATAAATAGCAACAGAAGAGTTGAGAGGTTAGCTGATATCTTTCATTCAAGTGTCTCAGATATTCAGTGTAAATATTGACTGATGAATTCACAGAGTGCCCTGTGGATGTTAATGTGAATTAATTATTCTATGTCAGTGATACCCAGAGAGCTTAACTGGCTTGTCTGAGATCATATAGTAATCTAAAACACAAAATAAAATCTGATGCTTTAATCAGCAGAAGTACTTGGTTTGTACTTTGGAAAATCATGGGAGAATGTATCATAGCAGGCACTGCCTTAGGGTTTGTGTTTTTAATCTCCCTCCTCTGTTTCCTACTTCGTAGTACAGTTTAGGATTTTCCCTTGGAAAAGTGATTCAGGTAATCTTCTACTAATTTCTCCAAGCGACATCTAGTCCAGTTGTGACAACTAATAGTCAACATGCAACTCCACAGAAATTAAAACATTCCTCAGGTTTCAATACCAATACGATAGCAAGCAGGTGAGTACAGCTGGTTCACCAGGAATTTAAGTGACAAGGCAAGTTTTGATTCCCAAAGCGCAAAAAAAATTGAATGGTGCAATTTATAACGTTCAGTTCAGAACATTGACAGTTTGACATTTAGAGATTGTGCAGAAATAGTTCAATTCACAAAACTCCAAAGGCCGAGGAGTCAGACCCAGCAGGAAAGTAAATTTAATATCTTTGGCGTCACATGCAACTTGTACCTGACCACTTCAGTGTTTGATGCGAGCGAGATGAAGAATATGCTCTGATCTGCATCCTGCGGTAGAGAAACTGAAACATGAGGTTTCGCATTCAGATTCACCGTAACTGAGGTGTATTAGCCTGGCATTTATTCATTGTAGCTTCCCACTGTAGTCAGTGGCCAACTTTGGGTCTTACCGATTTTCCATAGGGAAATTTTCCTGCAGAAGTCAAAGCCTAATACCTTAACCATTAAATCCTGCTGCCAGCTATTGTATTTCATGTCTTTTATAATGTGTTGGAATTCCTTTAATGTCTAAAATATAGGGTGTTAACACGGAATTATAGCTGTTTCAATGATCTTAGAAAGTAGTGAGTTCTGGTTCACAGTTCACTGTGAAAGGATTATCAAAGGTGTGTTGCCCTTGTCTCCTCCAGTCATCAGCAAAGGGAAGAAACTTCATTAAATAGGCTTTTGCCAGTGGCTTCTGGCAGAAGAGAACAGGCACATGGCTCACAATATCCTCAGTAAGTTTATTAGTATGGACATCCTCTTATACAGAATTTCTTAAAAAGATTTTATAAAAATCCATCCCATGCTCACTTTTAAAAAGCCTGTTGAATGCAGATTGCCATAAACAATATAGTTGAGATACTCTAGGGATGGATCTTGTTGTCACAGGTACTCAGAAATATGTAGAAATATGAAATGGAGCTAGATCTCTAGACCAAGCTGAACTGATAGAAGTCTTGGTTTTAGCAATGCAGTCTGTCATATGAACAGCATTTGATTGCTTTTAATGAATCGCTATTTGTTAGTAAGAAATTGTGTATATTTATGTCACTACAGGTTTATCAACCAAGGTTAATGATTTTGGCAAACCAGAAAATGTTTCCAACCAGCCAAGGGGATGGGGGATTTCCAAAGGTAAAGTTCTTTATGTAATTTCATTCATCTAATAAAGAGTTTACTGAGATGAAAGTTTTCTGAAAACAAAATGGATTTTATTTTATGACTGCTTCAAGAGAGTAGCCAGCTCTCATGATTTCATCACGAGTCTCATGGTATTCTGTTTTTCTTAAAGCCTTGTCTCCTTGAGCCAGGCAGTTAAGAGAGGATTTCAGCTTTCATTTTAAAATTATGTTTTTAGCCTTTAGGCCTGAAGAAAACATGGACTCTTGCTGGCTACATACCAGAAGGAAAACATACTAATTTTCAAGAGCTCTTATTTCTTAAGTCTGTCTCATGATTTTACAAGCTTGACATTCGAGTTTTGATTGCTTGATTTTGGCAAGTCTCTCTTAGCAATGCAGATGAAGAAGTCAGTGATAATGCATGAGGAGGAAGGTGGTGGTGGTGTTTTTCTTTTTCTTTTGTTAAGTTTTCTGCTTGTGCTTTACCTGGCTTGAGTAACAAGCATACAATGCATGGCAGTTTTCATCTGAGTTTGACAAGAAGCACACCAATTTAAATGCAGACGATGTGACTTGTGAGACAAGATTCGTAAGATTTTGTTCTGTTACCATTGCTGGTTTCATAAATCTGAAACTGGGTATGAAATTTGAGTAGGAAAATGTAACTACAGAATATACATGTTTTATTTTCATATTCCCTTTCATTACTCGCTCAAAATCTGGCAAAAAGAAGTCAGGTAAGTAAGGAGGGAGCACATGGAAAAATGTTTTGATTAAGTTTCAGCTCCTTGTTAACAAAACTCTGCTATTCCATCTGGATAACACTATATTTTCCACATTTTTTCTTTTAAAGAAACTTCTAAAATTTATAGCTGGGCTATTTGCAGTCTGCTATTTGCAGACTCATGTGCCAGTATGCCAATGTTTAAATTAACATACATAGCAGTACTGCCATTCTTAACATTCAGAGTATTTTGGAAGTTCAGTTGAGTAGGCTGACAGCAATGCCAGATTACGATGAATGCACTATATATGGTCATCCTTATGTTAAATGACTTTCCTAATTTTATGAATCAGCTCTGTGTTAACTAGATGATTTTTATTCAAAATTTTAAGTTAGCAAGTTGTCATTCATCATTAAACAAAATTGCTCCTGAAAAATAGGAATGAACCTGTGAATTATGTGCAGCATAGTTAGTAACAATGCTGCATTATGTTGGGTTTTGTGAATAGCCATGTTTTTATGCTGCACATAGCTTAAAAAAAGTTTATCAAAAGGGACAATTGTTTCTTATCTAGTCAAAAGATATTATATGTTTTTTCCTTTAAAGTGATTGGATTCCTGATTTCTAAATGCAATGTATTTTTGTAGTCTTTATGTAATTCTTCAGAAGATATTTGGCATATGCTTACAAGGATTAGTTTTTAGAACTATCTCCAAATTTCATTGACATTTTATTTCAAAAGCAGCTTGACTATTTGCTGTACACAATCCAGCATCCAGCAGAGTATCAGCCTTAGCAGAAAATGGGTGACTATGGAATTTAATTTTTTTTTCATGTGTCCTGTAAAATTAATCTGAGTGAATTGCTGAAGAAGACTACAGAGATTTCTCAGTCCTTCAGCTCAAAAGTTTTGTGTACTCAATGCTAAACAGCTTGAAGAATACTGGAAGAATAAAGTACAATGAGTAGATTTTTGAAAAATCTATTTCAGATAAAAATGCATCTTTTTTTTCATGCAACCAACAAATATAAAAAGGATATATTTTCAGGCCTAGAAGGGTCATATGGGACTTTTTATCTTATGATTGCATGGCAGAATTTCAGGGCTGAGATTGTTTTCACAGCTGAAAAGGAACTGCCCAACACAATGCTTTTGGAAATTTGCCCAGACCTTTGGTCCATGTGGTGTGTCTATTTGCATGTGTAAGTTTCTAGTTTTCTTCTCATATCCTGTAATGATACACAAGTAGCAAATTTAGTCAACAAAAAAAGCAAAAAATATTATCACGAGGATGGGATTTTCTAGAGTCTTCTGAGGAAACATGTTTGTACAGTCACTGAAGTTTAAACACTCTGAAATTGTCTCTTGCAAAATCCCCAGTTTGGCTCTAGCAAAGGCAAGGTATGTTTCTGCTCCACTTCTTCCCCTGCCTTGCAGAGTCCCTCTGCAAATCTACTGACCAAAGTCTGCTCTCAGTTTCTCCATTTCTTGATGTCCCAGAGGGAGAGGGTACCATTTGCCCCTAGGAACAGATTTTACTCTGTGTTCAGCCTGAAGACTGCTCCTGGCTGTGGGCAGCGCAGAGCCCTGGGGAAGTTCACCTAACTGAAAACAAAATTTATCCTGTAAACTGTGATAAAGACAGTGGGAGATCCATGAGGTGGCTTCATAAGCAGCACAAGTGACTATATCAAATATGGACATTCCAGTGAAAATTATGGCTTTGAAGAGCCACAAAAAGAAAATTGCTGAAAATTGCACCTTCTTGGCAGTTGTGAAAATGCTCTGCATTTAATTCCTAATTCAGAAGTTCACAACTACTCACATCAGAAAAACTGAACTCAGAGAAGGTAACTTCAATTTCTTAAGCACAATAAAAACATTCTGCTTATATGACAAACATGTCCAAAACAATAAAACACTTTTACAATTCTAATCTCTTAAGCACAAACTCCACAGTTTTTTTTCCATAACTTGCAATATATTATTAGCTAAACAAATTCTTTTTGTTTAAGACCCATGGTTAATGAGGCTTAAACTGAAGCATATGTTCAATTGGTTTGCTGAATAGGCACAGACTTCAGCCAGTGAATGGTTAAATTTGGTTAACAAAAACATCTGAGGCAGCTGGCTGACAGAGCACACCATCTCCTTGTTTGCTGAGATGCAAGTAACACATTACAGTGTCTTTAGAGTGCTCTTTTCAATGAAGTAATTTATTGGAGTATTCTAGCTGCTTAAGCTGTAAGGTGCTTTTTTAAAAGACAGGAGGTCTGAGCTGTAAAAGGTTCTCTTAATTAGAACATGATCTTTCGTAACTAAGATGCACTTTTATGTTGGAGGCCAAGTGGAGCCATAAGATGGAGCTTGCGGTTTAAAAAAAAGGCGTCAAACAAATTAATTTATTGGTAGATAATACCATTAACGTTAGTCTTTTGTTTACCAAGCTGGCACTGAGTTATATTTTGAATGGGGCTTGTTGCCATCTGTTCATTTGTGGCCATGAGTTTTGTGTTCGTGGCACTGAGGCAATGTGTCTGCCTTTGTGTACAAACAGGTAATTGCTTCTTTTCAGCCATATTTGTATGCCAGAACTACTGCACACACAGCACCTGCAGATGCACTTTTAGACCTGGGCTGTCCAAGCTATTATGAAGGACACAGAAATGGCTTGGTTCAAGCAGGAGTGAGAGAAATAATTTTGAGGAATAGTGTAAGAATGCACAGCTGGTGATGAGCTGCAGAAAGAGTTGTCACTCCATAGCCTCTTCCCTTGTAACTTTACTGGGATGGTTGAGGTCTCCCCAGCTGCAACAGATGTCCAGACGTCCCAGTTCAGTGGTGGAGGATGCTGCTTGGCTCAACTCTTTTGCATTTTGGCTGCTGGGCCACATTCATTCATCCCCAAGTGAAGAGTATTCCTCAGATGCTGCAAGGCTTGCCTGCCTTTTAAGCAATCCTTTGCTCTCTGTGGCATTAGTATTTATAATTTACTTCTGAACTAAAGCTAAGGAAATATGGAAACCCTTAGACAGGAAAAAGGAGGACTCCACTGAAAAGACTTCACCAAATCACAACTAATACCATTTTTTTCCTCTCCACAGGGAAGTCTCCCCATCTCCAAGAAAGTAAATCGCAAGAAGAAGAGCAAGGCGGAAGGGGCATGCCTGGTTCCAGTAAAGGGCTATGGACACCAGTTCACCAAAATCAATTACCTCTACTCTTTTTAGTCATAATTTCTCCATTTGTTTTACATATGGTGTATGGGTTTGATCAGGTCATGGTGTCATATATCGGGAATTGTTTCTGTGTAAATCATCAAGTGTAAGAAGAAACTATGGGACTCTGAGCCTTGCTTTAGAGAATTACAGTGGACAAACGTGTACCATAAAAAATAGTTTTTAACATTCTGACTCAAGCGAAAGCTCTCAGAATTTCACACTGTGAATCCATGTTTACAAACATTACAGGTGGGCCCTCAGGCCTGGTTCTACCACAGCAATGTCTTCCACTACTCAAACTCCACTGCTCACACACAACCGGTAAATCACTCTCTCCATTTTCACCATCCCGAACTGCTTCTTGCAGAGGCTGAGAGTCCCCCTTTTTTTTTCATTTAGATGTAACAAGCCTAGTAGTTTATTTTCATCGATTGTCTGTATATCTCTATATTTTATCCATGTACTCTTTTGATGTATAGAAGTAGTATGAAACTCATGGTTTCCTTGTGGTAAGTGATTGTGATGCTGCCACGGGATTTGAGACACTGATGAATGGTGCTATTTTGGACTTTAAATATGCTCCTTGGCAAGGTAGCTCTGATGGAGTTATTTTTTATTTCCATGTTCTGAGAAGGTGTTGGTACTTTGTTTTTCTGAATGTTGTTCTTTAGACTGGACTGACTTGTTTACTTGTGTCTTCAGTGTGGCTTTCTTATTCAGTGCTGTAGGTGAGTAACTTCTTATGGTGTACAAGTGAGGAACTGATTCCCTATCAGGGTCCACTCACAAACATGCAGTTATAGTGGGAGCAATCACAAAACTGTAATTTACGTAAAATCTCCTTTCTGACTCCTGTCCACCTAATGGAGAAAGACAAGCAATAATTTCCCACCAACCTCTCAAAATCTCTTTTGATTTTTGCCTTTTTTTTAAAGCCTTTTTTTAAAGAAGGGACAAGTTTTAATGTCCTCTTCAAATCCATAAAATAGGGGATATAGTAAGAAAAATACAGCAAATTTCTGGGAGGAGAAGTCCTAAAAAAAAATACATTTCCACAGTACTATTGACGTGTGGACTTTACATTTTTGTTCTTGCTCCCAGACTACTATCAATACAAAACAACACAAAACACAAACCTAAACAGTATCATTTACTCATGGAGTGTTGTTGTGTTAGACACAGTCTGAAAGCCCACCTTAATTTTTTATATAACTCTGTCTTTTAGCTCTTCCTTTTACAGGGCAGGCCTTGTTCTGAACTGTTTTAGCTTCTGACTGTTAAATACCAATGCATGCACTGCACTTACTAGATTTCTTTCCTTTCCCTA